CTGCTTTACTCCATGACTTAACTCAATGCAACGCTGCAGCTGTTTGGACCACGGTCACTTGCGCCGCTCGTAAGTTCGAAAAAGGTACTGGTGGGTGTTTCTGTTATTGGATCGCAATTACCGCCGAATACTTGTTACCATATCAGACAGGTAAGTCGCCAATAACGTTTCGAGGTCTACATCCGTCTGCTCACTTTTAACGTCGCCTTCGAGTTCAATTATTTTTCACTTGATTGATGTACCAATGAGACGCAACTGCATATCACTGCCCAGAGTCGGACGCCTGTAGCATTAGTAATACTTGCTGCTTATTTGCATGAATAGTTTCAACGGGGCTGCGAACATTTCGAAAACGAAAGTAACCGAGGATGAGGTTACGGAAAAATTGTTAAATAGTCTACAGCTGTTGGGTTTGGCTGCTGCAAACAGTCGTCTAGGCGTATCAGCAGCAAACAGACCCTTGAAACGAATCGTCACCTGTCGCAGACGCACCACGAGAGCAGCCCTCGTCGTCCTGCCTCCGGCCGAGGATCACCGGCGTCATCGACTTGATCGACCAACAAGCATTTACCAATTATCCGCAAAGCATTACTGAGAATGTAGTACGAAGAACGGCGACGATGTACCATCGGAAACATGTGGGCGGTAGGTGAATCAGTTGACTGGTGTGAACTTTATTCAAAAGCAGAGAGGGTAAGAAGTCGGTAAAGCCTACTTTGGTCTGTCTCACGGTTTCGTTCCACCGACTGTAATAAAACGCTGCGCGTATGCCGAAAACAGAAATGACGTTATTTTGGAAGAACCGAAAGAGCGCGAACAAAAGAAGCCGCTGTCATTTTTTGTGACTAGTCCTCTGATATAGTAACCGGAAATGGTACATGCGAGAGTCCGGCTTGATCATTACGCGACGAACAGGGTCGAACGAATCGGGCGAATCGGACAAATATTGAATCAGTTGCTACTGCCGCCGCGATGTACTACATCGCGCATCTATTTGGATTGCAATTAGACATGGAAATGTATCTCGTGTAGCAGCTGTCAACCAGCCGGCCAAACGGGCTTTTACGCATCCATGACCGGACAGACGACGATAGCCAAAAACGCGAAGCACGAGAACCTCACAGTAACACAGCAACGCCTTGTACGGCGCGCACGCTCAACCACCAGGCAGATGGTCTAATTCATCTGTATTGTCTGCATGGCTTGCTACAAGCGCGGTCGGTACCAAGGATCACGTCGCCACTGACCCACTTCGAAGTCGTCGGTCGGTCATGCGCCGTAAATGTGACCCCGAACGGAGACGTGGTTAATTATTCGACGAGGACGACGAAGCTCGGTTGGTGGTAGTAGTAATGTTTGCGACGTTGATCGCGTCGGTCAGAATAATTCACAGCATACCATGTAGTAGAAAAATTTTAATCCGAGTTATTTCGGTCCGCAATAACATAGCGCCATTCGACGACGATGACGACAGTCAAGTGAAGTTTTCAATGACAAACATAATCTATTTACCAACCATTTAATGAGTAACGTTCAAAAGAACTCGAAACGCAAAAATAAAGTAACGAGGAAATGTACAAAAAAAGTAAAACGCCTTCAATAATTAAGTAAACTGTGTTACAGTTCAAAATAAAACAAAATAGTAAAAATTATTAAGACATTCGTTGCTGCAGCGAAGTATGAACATAATAAACCAACGGACAGCGAACGACAAACCCGAAAATAGCTGCCTGCGCAGTTTACCAGATAGACGTCGGATAGTTCAGAGAATCCATTGGCGCCACCGGAGTCAAAATGTTTGCACTCCACGATTCCCAGTCATTCAAAGCAGTGTTAAAGCGATAATCATGAAGGGGTGGCAGCAAATCGGCAAGGCTGTCGAACTGAGCGTGAGCACTCGATCCACTTAGTGGTGCGCTGAGATTGCTGCCGCCGCTGCTCAGAGAGCAGGATTCTTCTTCGGCAGTGCCAACCTGCAAAGAATCGAAACGGGACGTACCTGAAGACAGAGAGATGTCCGGGGACAGGGGCGAAAACGTTGACATGCTAGCGGGCGTTGGATTGAGTGACAACTGCTGCGACTCGCCATAAAAGTCATCGTAAAATCCAGATTCGGGAGTCAGTGGGTTGTCTCTCGGAGACGAACCCTGCAGCGGCGAAATCATTCGCTCTCTGTCCTTCGAATAAGCTGCAAGTGAATTTGTACCTGAATCAGAGCAAAGAAACGGTCCGCCGTTTATCATGTGATACACCTTGTTCCTATCGTTCATGCACCAACCGTGGGCAAGCTCCTGTTTAACGTTAAAAGAGGAGCAGACGTTGGACGCCGCCGCAGTCAGCGGCGGCACAGTGCAAATGCCGCCGCCGCCGCCGCCATGTTCCAGCACACTTTTAGTTCTAACTGGAATGCACGTCACCTTCGTGATCCTGCCGGTGCTAGTGTTCACCGACGAGATGCCGCTGACGTGAATCTGCTTCATCTGGCCTAGACTACTATGACCGGTGAGAGGGCCACAACCGCCGACACCGCTTCTGCTTCCACCCGTGCCTCCGACGCCTGCGCCAGCACCGGCGCTCTGAAAGCTGGACGCCTTAACTAGTTGGTCCTTTTTTGGTTTTTTCCTCGGCCGGTACTTGTAGTCCGGGTACTCTTGCGAATGCAAGATGCGCAGCCGTTCCGCCTCTTCTATGAAGGGCCGTTTCTCGTCGCCGCTCAACATTCGCCAGCGATGGCCGAGCTGTTTGCTGATCTCGGCGTTGTGCATCTCCGGGCTCATCTCGCAGATCTTACGGCGTTCGATCTGAGACCATACCATGAACGCGTTCATAGGCCGCTTGATGTGCACCGATGACTTCTTGCACTTGGTCGCGTCGGTGTACGGCGTTCGTGAGTTCTTGTTTACCTTCAAAGAGCCAAAGATCGACATAGGGTACATTTTGGAATCCGACGGCGTAACGGCAGCAATTATGGTGGCACCCGACGCCGCGACCGAGGTAGCAACGGTGCCGGAAAGAACCGCGGCGGCCGCCGTCGCTGTCGTGATCGTAGTCGTTGCATCACGTTCCTCTTTCTTGATCGTGGCCAAGCACCGCTTGCTCCCGTGCTGCGACTCGTCGACCATCACGTAGACGCCACCAACCAAACCCGCAACACGAAACAGACGCGCGCACGACCGACAGCGAAGTCTGTTATACAGCCTAAGTGACCCCACTCTAAATAAGATGATTGCGACACGCGGGACCCTGAGGTACTATCGGCGAACTACCAATCGACGACCGCGGTTACATTTCCGCCCCGCCTACGACCGTTAGTCGAGGCAAGGTTACTAAAATAATCAATCATATTGAGATGGTCTTATTTACATTGAATCACAGAACAGATGCTGAACTCGTTCAACGCGTAAAGACGCTTGCCCATGTTTCAAGATATTTACTCAATTTATCTATCATGTCGGAAAAATTAATTTGTTCCAATTTGCCGTCCTTCCGTCAAAAATCGCTGTCGCAGTGGTCGACCAACACAAACAAGTCGGTCGTCATGTATAGGCTGCCAGCTCGTGCTATAAAAATAATTGCTGTTCGACCATTGACCGGAAACTTTAGCAACTTGAGACAAACTTTCTGTTCCCTCTTATCAGATTCACCCGTCCGTGCACCTCCTTTTCAAACCATGCTGTACTTCAATGAATGTACATACGCCTATATGGTTTAGGTGCGACAACGAAGGCGGATATCAGCACCAATTCTGCAAATGCGCTACTAAGTACACACACACGCACACACACACACTAAACTAATACTGAAAATCGGTGTTAAACTGATCAGATAGACAACTGAACACAA